AACTTGTAGTAAAATTAACCATTTCTTTTTCTTAGTGTGCATTCAAAAATCAACAAAATAAGGGTAAATGGCATTGATTTATCTTATACATCAACCAACAAAAAATCACCACTTTGAATTTTTATTCTTCACTCACTAACATATCGGGAACTCAGGATCGGCCACTTTTTGTCACAGTTCTGCAACAAAAAATATAGCGTCGCCGATTAGATATATCAATGGATTGACGAGAAACATACGCGCAAATACTAACGTGTTAATCTCTGGCGCTCGTTGCAACTCTTTAGTTCTCTAAATCAAAGATTTGATTCTCTGAATAAGACCTTTTACATTTTCGTTTCAGAGAACCCAACTTTGGTCCCACCAAAATATTTATTTGTCCATATACAAACAAAAACTTTATTTGAGTCAACTAAACGGGTTGTTTCTCAGTGTATCCCGATGTATTTACCTTTGCGTCCTATTACCTGGCAACGATTAATCCAATTGAATAATAACCGTAATTAATGACCTCTTGCATATCCGATTGATATTGTTTTTCATCTAAAAATATATTCTAACTAAATACAAGAGCTCATTAACTACGGTTATTGCTAAACCGGATTAACATTTCAGTACGACGATAATACGACGAAGAACCGGCATGATTACTCGGCATTTACGTAATGTGTATATTACTACGCTCGAGGCTATGTGACTTTGAAACGACACGAGACGCGTACGAGTAAAAATCGAAGACTATATGTGAAAAAGTTTTGAATGCCGAAAATTCAAATATTGAGTCTGGACATCCGCCGAAATAAAATGCGAGTGTCCCGTGTGACTTTATATGATTGTTGCGTTTATTACATCCGCTTATGCGACACACGTTAAGGGCCATAATCTAAACAAACTAAATTTGACCCAACAAATATAATTATTTCACTTTTCAAATAATTTTATTGTTTGATCAAAATAATGTATTATTTAGCTCATATATAATTTATTGTTCATTTCAAGGAATAAAATTGTTTGCTTCAAAGAACAAAATTGTTTCGTTTCATTTTCTCATTTTACTATAGTAAAATCATTTTTATAACAGATTGACTATTAAATTTAGTTTATTTTTATAAAAATTAATTTAAAAAATACAAAAAATAAAAATATTTAAATAGTACATTGTTTATAATGAGTGCGGTACTTTTCGCACACATGATTTATCACATTATATACAACAATACATAGTTTTTCTATCTTTTTCACCATAAAATGGAAAATGTGCCTTTTTTCATATTATTTAATTGTATTCTTGAGAGAGCCATTACATTATATATAATTTTATATTATATTAAAATTATATTTTATTAATTTTTATTATATCAAATTTTTTATATTATATTAAATTTTTTATATTATATTAAAATGAACTTAAAAAGTATGTAAAATACAAAGGATTTTAATTATAGATTTGCAAAAATACATGGTCAGCAATTTGAGTCACTGAGGACTTAAACGTATATTTTAATCGTTTTTATTAAGAGATGAACGACTGAATAATGTCCTCATATACATGTCATCTCAATGTAACAAAATTTTTTTTAGGGGAAAATAACGAACTTCTCCATCTATCGGTTATTCTAGAATTTACCATCAATGATTCGACGAAGTCTTCAACGACCCAGGTTATCGACGGAGGGTTAAATAATATTTTTTCCATCATAATGAAATAAAATGACATTTTGTATAAAGTTATGTTGCTTGAATCGAACATATCCAAGTCAAACAAATAAGAATACTGCATTCAAAGAAACCGTTCTCTCTGTGTAGGAAATTAATTGTGTTTGATAAATAATAAACGGCCCCTTTTAAGAGGCTCCTTTTTGAAACTCTCGTGATACAATGTTGAAGATACTGGGGGACTACTTTACTCTTGGAAAGATCTGGCGGAGGTTTTCGGCTTTCCCGTAAACCTTAAGCCGTTACGTCTGAAGTTATAATAGTCTTAATTTACATTATTTACATTATTTACCTCGTTCTCTCAACCAGTCGGCTATCATCCTTCCTCTGAGAATAATTGCGAGTGGAAATTCAAGAACTCGCTGAAGTAGGCTACTCGAGCCAGCGAGCGTGCAAAGTAGCACGAAGTTCGGTGTCGAGAGGAGCTCCAGACTACAAGGTGCATCGTCTATCCGTAGTTCGCGGCCTGTCAAAGGATACCTTTCTTCGCTTGTGTACACGATTTCCTGAGTGGGTTAAGCGCGGATTAGGTGCGGGTTCTCGCGAGAAGATCGGAAGTATCTCGGCTGGAGGCACTCGGCGCGAGCGTGCGTTCATGCGAGATGGCGCACCCTTTTTCTTTCCGCTGCATTGTGCAAAGTACACTGCTCCGATTATTTTACGCGCATACGACATCCGAGGATGTGTGTGTGTGTGTGTGTGTGTATATGCAACATCGTCGTCGTCGTGGTCACTAAGAGTCGACGGCCCTGCCGCGACGCACTCGGGCACCTAAGGGCTTGAGCACGGGGGGATGCAACGTGGCGTGTGCACAAATTGCGAACGTGAGTGCGCGCGCGGCATAATGTGCATTAAAAGCGACGGCTAACGAGGAACGGAGGGCCGCCTGCTTTGGTCAACTGTGCGGTTAGCGCGGACAGTAAGTAAAAACAGCAGCAGGTTGCCGATCGGGGAAAACTTATCGAGGGCATCGATCCTCCCAGGTCACCGTGTGCCCTCACCGTGCGCGTTCACTTAATGCACCCACATGTGCGGCGGCTCGACCGAGCTGCATCCACTACTACAACCACTTGCACATATTCTCTATGTCACGAATCGATGCACTCACGCCGCCCGTGCGGCAATGCGTAAGGCGAATTCGTCTCGGACGCGTTGCGATACGTAATGTGCACACACGCACACACACACACACATATATATATATATGGTTCAATAAAATACATTAGATAGATTGCCGATGTTAAGAGACTTCAAAGTTTCAGGACTTCTTATATTTTTTCTATGCAATTTACATTTATGATTCATAAAGTAACAAATTAAATTTTATTACACAGAAATGTTAATAGATAAAAATGAGTAAAATCGTATTTGCAATCTTCAATGACGCAAGAATGATTAAATACTTGTGTAATATTATCAATACACACCGAATTGACACTGAAATAGTCAAATATTGTAATTTCAATCTTTTAATCAACAGTTGGATTAAAAAGTTTAATCTTTAATTTATTATACAATTATAAAACTCTTGTTATTTATAAATTCTTATTGCTTATTTTGAGTTTTACCCTTTATTTTTTAATCTTCTTTAAATTTCTCTAGTGCTAAATTTATGAACAGCGCAAGAGCTTCCTTCTTATCTTACTTCGCGTTTTATTAAGCCTTGTCCTCAGATCCTAATCGTTCTATATCGATACATGTATGCGAATTTCTAACAATCGTTTTGATTGGTCACTCTCCACTATATTTTCCGTTTTCCCGTTTCGTCTTTTCATTGGCTATGGGACGACACTCTCAAGCACAATGGTCGGTTCAATGGCTACGTTCCAATATTTACTGCCAATGTTGAACATCTATAGTACATAACATGAACTATAGATTTTCAGCGCTGGCAGTAAATTTTGGAACACAGCCCAAATAAGAACGACTTTTAAGGACTATATTCTATTCAATAATATAATTCGACTTCTAGTGACATTTTGCTTTCTATTTCATTTTTAACATTTTATGTCGACACGTGTTAACTCTAGATACTAAATCTAATTCGATTTATCACAGAATAACGTCACATGATGTAGAAGGGGCTTTATGTTGTCTTGATATTTATCGAAAATTTTAAATATATATATTAAAACAGACAATCTTTTCCTTTCGCAACGTCCGCACAGTAAATTTCTTAACCAATATACGAATTGCGCACGCTCGAGTGAGCTCATCGAGTCAAAGAGACACGTGTAGATTTTTTCGCTATTTTCAATATAGCGCGTTACCGGGAATTCACGTCATATTTATTACGTATCCGTAGGACGCGTATACGCGCGGGCTATGCTTTTTCTTTTTCTAAAATTGCGTTACGCAGCAGATTGATATTGTAGTCGTATATTTAGATTTACTCGAATGCGTACATTTACTTTTATGTTTCATGGCTAACGGAGATCTTGTCGTGTATAAATAGACTCTCTATTTATACAAAGTATTCTCGTTATATGTGTATCCGCACTAATTAACATCTGTGCGACTATATTTGCATCCGAAGCGCTTACGTCCGATACATGCCTGCTACGTTATTATTTATATTGATGGGCACACATACGCGCATGCTCGTGTGCGAAAACACATGTGTGTACACTCGAAGTCTACGGAAATGCGCGCTCATATTTTTCATAACGACACACGCACGAACACGTAAATGCACGATTCCTCTGTAATCGCATTGGAAATTAACTCAAATTCTAGTGGCTGTTTCTACAAACATTGATTGAACCTTAACATAAGTTTAAGGCCTTTTCGGATAGACTTAAGGGCGCGATAGAAATGAACATAAGAGTTACATCGTATGAACGTCAATATAGTTTAAATATTGTCTTAGACGAACATCATAACACTACGGCCTATTCAAGGGATTTCAAAGTGACCTAATGAAACCTTCCTTTTTTCTTTTTGTAATTGCGAGTTGTCACGAACTTCTCATCGTTCATCGTTGTCTAAGATAGGGTACTAGTACTTCTTTCGCAGAAAAAGAAGCGAAAGAAGAAAGAGAGAACCCAAGTCGGAAATTCTGATTCTATTTAAAGAGAAAGCATTCTAATCCAGAACTTCAAAAAATCGATTTTTATTTTTTTGTTAAATAGTATTTTACAACGCAGTTTGTGCCCGGCGAGTTTTTTCCCGATGGAAGGATACACGAATAAAACTTTAGCGTAAGGAAGGCAACGAGCGCAACGATAGAACAAAACGTCGCTTAATGGTACGTTTGCATTTCTTGATATATTTTCTTTTTTCAGGACGTCCCTTTTATAAACCCTGCCAACGTAGTGTTCGTGTATATGTTGGTGAAAGAGCTCGTCGACGGAGACGAGGCGTCCGAGAAGGAGCTTCAGGCGACAGTACTAACGTGTCTCTACCTGAGCTACAGTTACATGGGCAACGAGATCAGTTACCCGCTCAAGCCGTTCCTCATCGAGGACAGCAAGGACAAGTTCTGGGACCGGTGCCTCCTGATCGTCAACCGACTTAGCTCCGAGATGCTGCGAATCAATAGCGAGCCCGGATTCTTCACAGAGATCTTCACCGAGCTTAAGGTGCGGGTTAAGATTTTCGATTTTGCTAACGGAATCGATACGATTTCCTGACGTGACGCGATAAAACAAATATCATCGCTTTGAGAATTCACCACGTATAAATTTGATAAATTTAGCTACTCTTGACTGAGCACTCAATCGTACGTTAAGTCACTGACGTCGCTTATGTCATTTCACGTGAAGTAGATGAATCAACAAAGAGAGTGAGGAGTCTCGCGTTTTCTTTTATTTCGAACATTGAACGACAAAGTCAAAAATATTCTTCTATTTTTCCAATATAACAAGGATGAGATTCATTTGAAATATTCTTAAAATTAATTTTAAAAATTCGACCATGCGAAAACTAAATAGCTGGTAGATATTTGGATTTGACAGTTTGTATAAACGCGCGCTGCGTGTTTAATATAATAGAAATGAAATTGCATGCAAGATACAATTATATTATTCGCCGTAGCTCCTTCACTCGGATAGCTGATAAATTTAGTTGCAGCGCGCAATGACATTAACTATCCCTATTTTAGCTCCTATAGCTAATTCTTTCTCAAGTGTGCGACGTTAATTACTACATTTTTCATTCGCACCTAGTTTCGTTGTTTTCGAAAGAACCACGTTAAAGGCCCATATTTTGAACTCTCTTTTATTTATAGAAGTGCCTCCAAAAATGGCTCAGAAACCACCCGATTGGTTGAGAAGCCACATGAGGAAAACATGTTTTACTGGAACAGCAAATCACTTGTTAATATAATAGCAGCAATAGGAGTTACACGGAAAAAAGAATGTTGCTGTTGCAGCAAAGTTGTATCATTCGCTTATTCCGCGCGCAAGTACTTTTATCGATAAAAGAGAGTTGAGAAAGATTAGAGGCCAAAGACTCGGAACGTATGGACTCTAATCGAAATTTGCGCAGGCCTGCGGTGCCAGCGAACGTGGTAGTCTGACTGGTAGCGGCCTCGAACGGAGCCTCGTCGTCTCCGGAGTCGCGGTACCCACCAAGGCAGCTTGACGGAGCTACACACACCTGCTGGTGCGCATCGCCAGGCACGGCTGCGACGTCACGACGCTCTGACGATGGCCATCGCGACGACGAGGAGCCGCGCTCGCAGCTTGACCCCACTGCATCGACCTCGGCTTCAGTTTCGACGTTACCTCGCCAGCAGCAGCCGCCACCGTCTCAGCGGCCGCGGTCTAGCCGCGACGACGACGTTTTCTGTCCGTCGTGCGGCCGACGGCGGCGCGAAGAGATCTCATGGATGATCGAGGACCTGGACGCCATCGAGCCGGCGCCGCTTGAATCACAGAGAACGCCGACGAAGCTCTGCAGCTGCGAGGAAGTCGACGTAGCCGGCAGAGCCGGTAGAGAGCGCGGTGACCTCCGGAAGATTCGCAGCGAGGTGAGATGGGCCACCAGCAGCTTCCTGTCGCCCGACGACGCAATCTGGGACCTGAGGAGGCGCACCAGCGAGGGCACAGAGTTCCGTTGGGAGCTCCACACCTCGAGCACCGACCTGGACCTCGCGAAGAAGACGAGATGCAGCTGCCACAGCCTGACCCCGGAGGAGAAGAAGCCGGAGGGTGTGCAACGCGGCGATCTCAGGAAGCACCACAGCGCGGAGACGGACAAGTGGTCGGTCAGACCGGACCACCTGCTGACGCCGATGCACGACCTAAGGAAGCACAGCAGCGACGACACGAGATTCGCGAGGGAGGCCAGGTGGCTGCAGGTGCCGGACGTGATGCCGAATCCGAAGCCCAGATGCACCTGTCCCAAGGTGAAGACACCGGCACCGGCGTCGCCGGAACAGAAAGTGATGGAGGAGCCGGAGAAATCGGCCCCGCCGCCGAAAGAGGAGAGAAGACTGTACTACTCCAAGTCGCTGGCACCCGAGGAGTCGGCCACGCCGTGGGAGAAGCCGGAGATGAAGAGGCAAGCCAGCGAGCAGCCGAAACCCATGAGAATCGAGAAGCCCAGGGAGAGACCCAAGCTGGAGCGTTCGGCTCAAGTGCGGAGCGAGAGCTCGAGGAAGTGGGGCCTCAAGGAGAAGATCGTCAGCCCGGTGGGCGAGAGCAAGAAGCCGATACGGGCGAGATGGGCGATGAAGCCGCACGTTTCCCTGCCCGCCGAGAAGAAGGCGCCGAAGTGGTACCGCAGCCAGGACGAGACGAAGAGCAAGAGCTTGCGCGAACGGCCCAAGTACAGCATACGGAGGAGCATGTCGCCGGAGCCGGATCCGCGGCAGGTAAGCAAGCTCGAGAACAGAATCGTGCGACGGCTGATCTCGCCGGAGATCACCATCACGAGCACCAAGTGGGCGCCGTACGAGGACTCGTCGCCGTTGCCGACGATCGGGATCAAGAAACGCGAGCAGAAGCACATCAGCGAGATCAAGTGGACGCCGTACGACGAGTCGCCGAGCGACATCCCGGTGATCGACGACACCAAGTGGTCGCCCTTCCAAAACGTCACGCCTACGCACTGCCCGCCACCGGACGCGACGCCCTGCAAGAGCGACGACGAGCAGTTCCGATGGAGGATGCTCAATCTGGTGGCGCCGTTCCCGCTCTACCAGGGTGGCTGGAAAGACGAGTCGCCGGAGAAGACGCCGCCGAAGAAGATCGCCACGCCGGAGGACCTGTCGCCGCCGGTGTGGTCGCCGATGGTGCCCGCTACGCCTACCAGCAAGCGAAGGAGTATCGCGCCCCAGCCGTCGATGGAGTCGCCGTCGGAGCGCAGGCCGAGCAAGTCCCGGCTCACCCGGAAGGGCGCGTTCAGGGCGAAGTCGATGGTGCCCACCACTCATCCCCTGGAGGACAGACTGCCGACGGCGCCGCCGCCGGTGATCGTACGCGCCGCCAGCGAGGAGACCAAGCGGCAGAGGCCCCAGCTAATGAGGTCCAAGGCCCTGTTGGACGTGCCGGTGCCGATCGACGCCACCAAGAGGTCGCTGAGCGAAGAGGGGCCCCGTATGCGTCCTCGCGAGCGCCCGAGGGCGCCCGGCAGGGCTCGCAGCGAGGAGGTGTCCAAGTACGGCGACCCCTGGTTCGAGTCGCCGGAGCTGCGCGAATACGTCACCACGGTGTGATCGTGTCTGGAGACCGACGTTTGGGTACCACGTACCCGGGAATCTAGACGTTCGGTCTCCAGACGACGCGATCGACGCGCGACTCTCCGCGCGCGAGACGCGTGAACTCGCCTCGCTCGTTGTTGTGCCGCTTATCCCGCGACGGGAGAGATTATTTTCTAATATCCGTTATTCCGCGCTTTTATAAAGTTACCGCGTGGACGAGGTCGAAGCGAGAGAAACGACGGCGCCGTCGAGTCGCGGGGAAGCTTCAAGCCGAAGAGACCGGGCGTCCCGCGCGCACCGGAGCGCGATCGGTCTTTCCACGCAAGGGCCTCACGAAGAGTAACGCACCTTCGAAACCACCTAAGAAACGAGACGGCTGGGCACGAGAGCGAAGATTCACAGCGGCCGGGTAAAGCAGATCCTAACACTCGATCGTCCGCGGAGGCGCTGAATACACCTCGTTGGCCTATACGAAGACTACGGATGGAAAATACCAGAAACAAAACCAAAAAAAAGAAAAAGAATACAAAATTATAACAAGCTGCATCACTTCGAACATTCGGCATTCGACGATCATTCTCACGAGAGGGGAAAACAGAAAGAAAGAAAGAGAGAGAGAGAGAACAAGAGAAATACAAAGAGACGAGTCTAAGAAACGGACGAAAGTCGAGGCGAGGGGTCAAGGACTGATTATTATTTAAAAAAAAAGAAAATAGCGTAATATATACGTGTGCGTTTTGTTGCGACCGCGGGGGGGGGGCTGGGGGACGCAGCTGTTCCTCGCCGCGGGTCGCGGCGTCTGAATGTTCTCAGCTCAACAGGAAATGTACGGTCACGCGCGACCGGACGTGCACGACTCGGCCGGCGGATCGCGGCGAGACGGCGGCGAGAGGCCGGCGCGTCATCGGCCGGGTGCGCGGTGACGATGAGGCGACAGTTCATGTAGCACGTTGATCGACAGCTCTAACGTAATTAGGTATATAACGCTACTGATTAAAGTACCGACTCTAGCGATAATAATAGGAATAATAATAATAATAATATAATAATAATAATAACGACACGGAGTCTAGCGACTGCAGGCGCGACTCGTTGGTTCGAGCGGTGAGCACACTGCTGAGGCATCGACGACACGCGCAGCTCGCGTCCGCCGAGCGGATCCGCTCGATCCCGGACGCGCGCTCGCGCGCGTGAAACACTACAAGTTTAATTGTGTACGTACGCTGCGCGTATATGCGTAATATATAATATTTATAACGTTCGCGAGTATAACGATTGTGTAGGAGGAGACGTGATAAAGAAGAATAGAAAGAAAAGGGGAAGAGGAAAAAGAGGGAGAGAAAGACGAGGGGTGAAGCGGTAGGAGGGAGTAAAAGAGACGACGAGAGATGACGATGATGGGAGAGAAGAGAGGAGGAAAAGCGCGAGGATGCGACGACATCTCGAGCGGTCATCCAAGGATCACCTCGTTCCAGGGAAGCAAGCGGATTCAGAGGTCCGTTCGATCGAGAGCCGTCGGGGAGCTCGACGAGATACGACTCTTTGTTACATTCGTTCTTACCTTTCTTTTTATACGTGACATTACACAGCGAGTGTCGCGCGCGTGTATTCTCGCGAGTGTATTCTTACTCGCGACACGATCGATTTCGTTTACGTACGGGCGACGGTCCAGCGGCCGTGTGACGAAGAAGAAAAAGGAAAAGGAGAACAGCAGCAAGAAGTAGAAGAGGGAAGACGGCTACGCTGGATAATACGTCGGCCCCGTGTGTATGTGTGTGCCGGCGCGTGCAATATTAATTAAAAGCGTCGAAACGTCGGTGGACAACCGCGTGGAGATGGGGTACTAAGAGGTAGGAAAAAAGAAAGAAAATGACGCACCGTGAGACAGGTGCGTCCGCGGGGACATCAGCTGCGCGTAATTGACCATTGTTTCCCTTCCGCCCTCTCGGTGGCGACGGTCGTCAGTCGTTTTCGAACGACCCCGTGTCTCGTTGCCGCTATCGCGTCGCCATTAATCGCGCGCGCTGCCGTTCGTTACGTTTCCGATTCCGTCGCGCGTTTTCATGCACCCTCCACAGCCCTGTCGGAGTAACGCGCTCATCCGTGTGATCATCTTTCCCCGTGCGTGTGTTTTTGCGAGAACGACCACAGCAGGACGCGGCGTCATTATCAGTAATGTACCTTACCGGGCTGATAACAGCGACGGGGGCAGCATCCTCGTTGCTTAAGTACGACGTCGTAAGCCGGTGATTAGCGTTAACTACCGGGAGGACAGAGGTCGCGCGCGTCGGTTACAGGCGAGTGCACTCGAGCGACAGACGCCGGCGAGAGTAGCCGGCGATGATTACAGCCCGACACCTCGGCTACCTTCCTTCCTGCCTGCCCGCGTAGCCGGCTGCGCTCGTGGCCCGATCTCGTGGCCGCGTGAACGATCTCGCCGTCGGGCATAATCGCGTAATCTCTTTTAGGATAGCTCCGCAATTAGCGCGCGAACGCCCTCGTTCCAGAGACGCGCGAGTCTCCTCGCGCAGCTTCGTGTACTTACCGCTCTCTCTCTCTCTCTCTCTCTTCCTTCGGTCCGCGCCAGCAGTTCATTCTTTCTCCCTCTGGTTTCTCATCGGTCGTCTGTAATCCCGCCGGCGATATCGATTAGCGATATTTACTTAGCACGTACGCGTACGTAGTAGACGTTAATTACTCGAGTACTCGAAGTATCCACACGGCGAGCAGCAGGCCGTTCGTGGTTTCGTGACTTCGGACTCACCACGAGATCGGGCGTCCCGAACGTACTTCAAACGCATCCCCTTCGGGTGGAGGGGGGGGACGCGATCTCGCGAAACGCGAGAGTCACGAAGCACCGAAGTGGCGAAAGGGAGCGAGAGGAATGCCGCCGAGGCGAAGGACAGAAAACAATGTTTCTCTCTCTCTCTCTCTTCGGCCCGCCGGAAAGTCGAGTGCTAGCGCGGTGCCAGCGAGCCGCACTCGGCCGCGACTTTGGCGCGGTTTCGCGAAGGCAGGCGCGCGGGATCGCGGATTCCCCGAGCGGAAGAGGTGACGCGATGCATTCGAGCGAACGCGCAACTCGTCCGCGCCACTGTCCGCCGCCGACCTCCCGCGAGAGGGCTCTCGCGAATGGGCTGTCATCGCGAGGATCAGAGTCCCTCAAATAAGAGTCTAGCCATCTCGCGACTTTTTCACCAAAAATGGTGTCTGGTTTGTGACTGGAATGCCTTTATCTGTGTGAATAGCGTTGGCAATATTTCGAGACATATTTCGCTGTAGACACATATACGTTATCTATCTCATTTTGTACATAATATTATTTATATAAAAAGAGATTTTCTAATTTTTTATAAATCGATCTTACCAACAACGCTTAGTTACAAATAAAGTCGATTTATTCGACAATTTTCGACAAGTCCCGTTTCGTCAAGTCACTTTTTGACCAAATAAGGAACTAGATCGATCAGTGAAAAATCGGAGATGGCGGGATTCTCGCGTGAGGGACTCTAACGAGGACGCGTGGCGCGCGCTTCATTCATTTCCGGCCGCTTCCATTGACGACGACTCCGCGAGATCGGCGACCCCCGGGAGATCGGCCGCGCGACGATTAGCGATCCGTCCGACGGTCGTTGCATTCATCATGCATCGAAGTCGCCGATGCCCTTATCTCAACCTTCTCCGACGCTCTCCAGGCAGCGATTGCACCGACGCGATTTAATTTACGGCAATGGAATCTCCGATACCGGGATCTTCGCGCGCGGAGGCACGAACGTTACTATTACGTGTGATATATACGTGTGACTATTTTCGAGAGTCTGGCTGCTTTTCCGTGTGTGTGTGTGTGTGTTTTCGATACATGTGTGCGCGCGCGCGCGCGCGCGTGAGTGCGTACATGCGGAAGAATTGTTGGTATAAAGACGCACTCCGATGGCGTCTTGACAGCTGCGTTCAGGAAACACAACGGTTGAGTGAGCGCTCGTTACCATTGGAATGTTCCTTTAAATCTACCGGGGATCTCCAAAGGGACATTTCAATCAAAAGCGATAATTACTCAACGGTTACACGGCTGTTTCCAAGCAACTCATAAGAACGTCTAAAGAACGTCTCTTAGACGTCTTATTTGATAAAAGACGTCTTTGCGACGTCTTGGTATTACTTGAGTTGTGTCTTCCGAACGCACATGATGAGAAGATACAGATCGAACTGCTTTTTAGCGTCATTACGCGAGAAAACGCGCACCGAGCGTCGTGAGTACGCGTAAATGTCGGAAGCACTTGAAGTTACCTCGAGGTACATCGAGTGTATTTCGGACGCGTTTAGGACTTTCGTTGGTTTTCATACTCGATTTCTCGCGTCGTGTGAGCGGAGTCGCGACCAATCCGAGATGTTACGAAGAGAGAGAGAGAGAGAGAGATGTTCTCCGTCGGCGCATCTCTCGCGCATTAGAAAATTTAACATTAACGTTAACGGTACCGCGGGTGCAACGCTGACGAGACATCGAGAGGTCGCGCACGATCACGCGAGGTCACCGCGCCCGTGTGTCGAATTACACGTACACGAATTACGCGTGCATTTTACCGAGTTACATAGCGATTTGTTTCTCCACGAACCACATACATATACATATAGATATGAGAAAAATATAAATATATATATATATATATATATATATATATATATATATATATATAAAATATAGTTTTTTCTCTCCCTGGTAGTGCGTACATATAGCGGATTTATTACGACGTCATTGCGTACTGTATGATATTATACATAGCATTAAAATGAGACTGTGTCGCGGTATCACACCAAGAATCGGAGAGAAAAAGAAAAAGGGAGGTAAAGATAGTGAGAAAGAGACACCCAACCGCCGTTCAGGCCGACATTTGTGTACGTCGCCGGACGGGGCGTGCGTGACTCGTGAGTACGACGCGTTCGTTCGAATTGTAGAGAATACGGATACGATTCTGAAAGCACGTCGAGAGAGAACGCTATACAGTATAAAAACAAAATTGTACCCGTGCTGCCATTAGCGTTAAAGCAGGAAACGAAGGTGGAATTAAGGTGCGAGGACAAGCCAAAGTATATAGTTAATGAAGATATACACGAATTTATGCCCATGAGGAGACGTACACTTATACATATAGGAAGAAAGGGGGAGAGAGAGAGAGAGAGAGAATGAAAGAGTGAGAGAGTGAGAGAAAGAACGAGAGAGCGAAAGAGCGAATGACACACGTATACAAACGCACGCATACTCGCATACATACGCTTAATTGCGTAAATCTACGTATGCATGAGGAAAATGTGGCGAACGAGGGAAAAGGTTTTTCTCGGACAACTTCTTAGTTTTCAGTCACGGCGACAAGTACAGAAGGGATCGCGGATAATTAATAAATTCGTTCGATCGCGCGGACTTTTTCCAACGTTACGTCGAAGCATTTTCATCACGATCTCCCGCCTGTCCCCGTGTGCAAAATTCAGAACGACGAAGTTTCGCGAGGGAGATCATCGTTGTGACACGCGACACGCGATGTGGAGATTTGTTTGTTACCGTCGAAAACGTAGCGAGCGCAAAATCGGCGAACATCGCAGGCGGCTCGTCCAGCCTTTTAACGCTCGTTTGTATTTTCCTTATAGCTTATACGGAGTTTCACGATTAAGTATATACCACAGTACATACCACCGGTGTCGACGACACGATTGATAAGCGTTTTAATCCCCCGGCGGTGAATTCATTATTTCGCGGCACGAGAATAAGTTTAGGGACCTTCATGTTGAATAATTAGCAGTCTCATCCTATGTATCGAGTATTAATCGAGAGATCGAGCGGCCATGAGCAATACGTATCTAGCGGTAAAAGACACACACACACGAGAACCATAAGACGAACATAAGTGAACCTGTGTTATAGCGGTTCGTAGCGTGTACTGTGTTCGAATGTGATCGATTTGTTACCTGAGTTCCCGAAACTATTGTTACGTTTGCGCTTATTTAGTATTATTCTTCCTCTTCTCCACACGAACGATATATTATTATTATTATATTATATTTATTATACGGTTAATCGTGTAAGAATATAATTCTAATTTTAATGCTATTTATTATTACATTGTGATAACGTGAAAACTCGTTTCTAGTTCGGCTCTTCTCTAGTCTCATTAATTATTCCGTCGATACTCAGTCCAAACCCCCCCGAATCCCCCTCCCCCCTCTGTCCCCGACTGTAATGACTTGTCAAACGATACGACGCGTCGCGGGATACGTAGATCTCGCGTATAGAAAGGTGCATCCTCTGTGCAACAAATACAATATACAACCCGTAAATATGAGGTCAATGTTGATTTGTTTAAATAAATGTAAGTTTGAAAACCCACTGTGGCATTTCTCTTCGACTCGCGTGTATTCCTCGCGTGAAAATACGAACAGAGAGGAGATTACGCAAGGCGCGTAGCACATCCTTCTTCGCTCTCCTTATAAGACGGACGCTCATACAAAGAGAGTTATTTTCACATTACGTAAGTATGGCATGGAATTTCGTCTTGAGAATTTCTGACTTCTCACTCATAACTATGCAGCGGCAACTTCGATCACGTCGCCTATTTTAACACTAAAAATGAGCGTCGAGCGTCAGCATGAAGAGGCACTTTAACGTGTACGGCGCCCGTCGCGAGAGAAACTTTCGCGATTTCCAAACGATATTCTTTCATAAAATCCTGCTTACAATAATGATTAGAAAATAGGTCCGCTAGAAATAGGAAGAATATCCATGTAGTTTAATAATATTTTATCATACTACTCTTTTCAATCATATGGAATATGAAAGTTTGTATAATCAGTTGATATTTTTCAATCATAGGCAATTATCATGTAATATCGTTATTTTATGATAAGCTATTTATAATATTCTTTCACAACGCTCTGCTTATAGTGATGGTTTTGAAAATGGATCTGATAGAAATGAAAAGAATATATATGTAGTTTAATCAAATTTTGATATTATCGTTTCCGATTGTGTTATCTATTATACAATTTATAATTTACATTTACAATTTCTAGTTTAAGAAATTTACATATCAATAAAAAATTTGAAGCGTACATACGAGATTCTCATGCTTTAGTGTGTGTATAAATTTTTTGAACTGTGGTGCAGCTAATTTAGCTAAAAAGAACAAACGATCTGTCTCTGTTTAAGGCTGGTATTACATGCATCATACGACGAGTTTGTCGGATGCCGATTGGCGGTCAGACAGAGAATTTCTAGAGTGTCTAGAGAAAAATTTAGGGACCCTTGAAATTCTTTATCCAACAACCAATTAGCACATCCGACAATGCTCGTCACACGACGCATAATAATACTAACTTAAGTTTTACAAGTGTATACTAGTGTAGCGAAAAAGAACAGACCTGATTTCAGCTTGATCACGTTGGAAATTGACGGATATGCAAGATGGCCGATCTGAACAAAGAGCTGAACGAGTATCTTCTCAGTAACAAAAATGAGAAGCAATACAAGATTACCATACCCACGGTAGCGATATCGAGGGCAAATTTCGGGAAATGGTTCGGAAAGAGCGATGACGAATCAAAAGAGGACGCAGGATGGATCAGAGGGGCACAAAAAGAATGTTGCCCTTCCATGGTAGTGCATTTCCCTATAACCTCAAAGAGCCGATGAATAATTGCGTTAACGTCAATTGATATTGATTTCGGTTAAATTCACATGAATAATTGCGCGAAGCGATTTAATCGTTCTAAGATTTGTGTGCGTGCACAAATTGTTTTTACATTTGACGCAATTTTCCCAAGTATATCGCGCGTTTCTCGAATCCTTGAAAAGCTCGTGTAAATAACAACGAATGTCTAGTTCTTCATTTTAAATGGAACATATTTTCATGCCCTTATATCCTGGCAGACGAGAACACAAAGGCTTGTATCTTTCGGCGTATGTTTCCTCCTGGGATTATTATGCTTCTGCCTGTCGGCAATATATATTCCTGTGTTGTTACTGAAAGCGAGAAAATTTGCCCTACTTTATTCCTTAGGTAGTCTTTTCTTTCTAACGAGGTATGTACGTGTGTATCTTTCTGCAAAGAATGACATATGTGCACAAAAATATCTCCCATTACATCTCTAACAGCATTTTTTCTTATATTACAGCTTCTGTTTTTTATGGGGACCAATGAGCTATACTAAATCATTATTCACAGCTGAAAAGAGGTGTTTTACCTTGTCATATTTCACAACCTTAGCAGGCACACTTTATTTTGCTCTACACTTGCAATCAACTCCCTTGACAGTATTTTGTGCTGTTTTGCAATTGATAGCTATGCTATCCTTTCTGATAAGTCATGTGCCAGGAGGCACAACAGGACTCATGTTTTTTACAAGAATGTTTAAATCATCTGTAAAGTCAACTTTGCCTGTATGATAGCACTATTACTTTTAGAATGTCAATGTTTTATAATAAAAATAACATCCCCTACTTGAAAGAGTACTCAAAAATATCACATAAGGTTTATATGAAATGGATAATGTATAATTTATTGAAAATACCTATATATATATATATATATATATATATA